CATTACACCATGGATAATAATCATTCTTAAAATATTAACTAAAATACTAACAACATTACATCTGTACTAATAATCATTACTACATATGAAAATATAGTACTGTAATTAATACATCGTCATAAATATTGTTTATTAAAATACTTTGACGATATCAGAATTGACATGTTTCTAACCATGACATTAAAACAGCCATCCCGGATTATAAGTTTACTTCAGTTTAAACCCTACATTTATTTGTGTAAGAGTACCCCCAGAAAAGTGAAAAAAGATTTCACACGTAACATTAGCTTTTTTGTTCCTATTTATCTTACTAGTCACTTAATTGTAACTCTATAGTCGAACAAAATATATGTTCAAATATATATATAAATCCATTCCAAAAAACCCAGAAGGAAGCGCGTGTTCACGCCACCTACTGGAGCATATCCGAAACGGTAAGCTGCTAGTCGTATGATATCGATTGGTTCGCTCACCTGGTAACAAAAGCCACCCCATGTGGGTCCAGCCGACTCACGTCTTCACGGTCGGCCTGCTGTTACAGAAAAGGCGTCCGTCGGAACGAGAGCAGCCGATAACAGCTCATGCCATAACGATCTTATTTCTTTTTTTAACAATTGTTTCCGGAAAGCGGGCAACAAATTATAAGCGTACTGTTTTTCCGGGCCTGTTATGCTTTAAATAAAGGAAAGTTACGGTATATGAATACAAAGTATATCCTTAATATAGATGAAGATTCTCTGAACACAACAAACTTTGTTCACTTCACGACAGATGTGTGGTATCTATGAAAACTTTATCTAACAACGGAGAACTCATTAACTTTCAGGTGAAGGAGAGAGTAATGGCAGGTGTTTGTCTCCGGGAACAATGAACAACGACCTGGGAAAAATACTGTTCATTTTTTTCTCCCTCTTTCCCACGTCACGTTTCCGAACAAATAGTGGAAGAAAACAATTTTAATTTTTATAGCGCCAAAAGATTTAAGATATTTTTTTCTCTTTTATTTCTATAATGAATTACGCGTAAAACAATATCATTTGGCATGTTTCTTCATGATACAACTAACAAAAACAATTATTTTAATCTTTCTATGATTATTAATCATGTGATTAATGCTTGTCAGGATGATAAAGAAGGAGATGCTAAAAGTGTATAGATGTCATCAAACTTTGGTTAGACACACATAACTCAACATATAATGCTTAGAAGTCATCGAAATTTGTTTGGACATTTAACTAAACACAAAGTGTATAGATGTCATCAAACTTTGTTTGGACATTTAACTATGCACAAAGTGTATAGATGTCATCAAACTTTGGTTGGACACACATAACTCAACATATAATGCTTAGAAGTCATCGAAATTTGTTTGGACATTTAAGTAAACATAAAGTGTATAGATGTCATCAAACTTTGTTTGGACACACATAACTCAACATATATTACTTAGAAGTAACTTAGTTTATTCCAAGACAGGTTGTGACCTATAATTCAACTGTACAACACGTCAACTCGCACTTACATAACGTTTTAACATTGTTTATATAACACTCTTCACTGATAAACCAAACCCAAAGATCATTATGAAATAATAATGAGAAGGCGGAGACAGGAAGGTCCACTTTTTACCCCATCTAGCCCACGGCTACTATGACAACGTTTCATGTATCGAATGCACATTTCAACTCACTCGTTAATTATAGGACTTATAGCTTTACTCTGTTAGCGAGCTCAAGTACAATGTATCGCATAATATTTTTCTCGATCACTTTTACAAGAGACATGAGTCTACAGATATACAGTCTTCCTCATTCTATAGCTAAAGGTATGGAGAGGAAAAAATAATGATTCAGGTGCTCCCTCTACAGCTGTAGAGAGAGAAAAATACTACTTGAGATGATCAATCTCTAGTTTTTGGAGATTTCCAGAGTAAACAGAGACGAAGCTATTTTAGATACTTGCCTTTAACGTGATCCAGCAGGAACTTCATTCGCGTCTACTTCTCTTACATGCTTAATAAACACTAGCAGAACTGACTAGAGCAGAAAGAAACTTACTCTAAAAGCTGTATTAAAATATATAAGAAGACAAGAGGTGAGTAGTTACGTCACTACACTGTACTAGTCTTAAATAGGGGTGAACAGTTACATCTATACAATGCAGTAGTTAATATATCAAATTTCATTAAATCTATAAAGGTAATTTGATATTAAACGTACCTGAAGTTGGAGAACCATTTGGTTAACTGTGCTGTGTTGTTCTTGTTGAACTTAATGTCTTGAAAGTAGAGCTTGAGAACCGTAGAACTTGGGTACCTCACGTAGAAAAACATCAGTTTGGCTTTCCTCAGATGCATTGGAGTTAGAGTACTAGTGTAAAACTGGTTAAGGAAGTTAGAGTTCTAGTGTAAAACTGGTTAAGGAAGCTAGAGTGCTAGTGTAAAACTGGTTAAGGAAGCTAGAGTGCTAGTATAAAACTGGTTAAGGAAGTTAGAGTGCTAGTGTAAAACTGGTTAAAGAAGTTAGAGTGCTAGTGTAAAACTGGTTAAGGAAGCTAGAGTGCTAGTGTAAAACTGGTTAAGGAAATTATAGTGCTATTATAAAACTGGTTAAGGAAGTTAGAGTGCTAGTGTAAAACTGGTTAAAGAAGTTAGAGTGCTAGTGTAAAACTGGTTAAGGAAGTTAGAGTGCTAGTGTAAAACTGGTTAAGGAATTTAGAGTGCTAGTGTAAAACTGGTTAAGAGTGCGAGTGTAAATATCGTTAAGGAAGTTAAGAGTGCTAGTGTAAAGATCGTTAAGGAAGTTAAGAGTGCTAGTATAAAACTGGTTAGGGAAGTTAAGAGTTCTAGTGTAAAACTGGTTAAGGAATTTAGAGTGCTAGTGTAAAACTGGTTAAGGAAGTTAAGAGTGCGAGTGTAAAGATCGTTAAGGAAGTTAAGAGTGCGAGTGTAAAGATCGTTAAGGAAGTTAAGAGTGCGAATGTAAAGATCGTTCAGGAAGTTAAGAGTTCTAGTGTAAAACTGGTTAAGGAAGTTAGAGTGCTAGTATAAAACTGGTTAGGGAAGTTAAGAGTTCTAGTGTAAAACTGGTTAAGGAATTTAGAGTGCTAGTGTAAAACTGGTTAAGGAAGTTAAGAGTGCGAGTGTAAAGATCGTTAAGGAAGTTAAGAGTGCGAATGTAAAGATCGTTAAGGAAGTTAAGAGTTCTAGTGTAAAACTGGTTAATGAAGTTAGAGTACTAGTATAAAACTAGTTAAAGAAGTTAGTGTGCTAGTGTAAAACTGATTAAGGAAGTTAGAGTGCTAGTATAAAACTAGTGAACGAAGCTTGCATGAAACCTATAAATCTATGTTTATTAAAACTGGTTTTACACTTCTTGCACTTTGTGTTTCCTGTTTAAGTGTAATATATCAAACCCACAGTACAATTATTCTAGTATGTTGTATTTCAGTTTAAGTTTTCACACTATTTTCTAACAAATAGTTTAAATCATTAAATCATAAATATTTTATAAATGAAATAAACTTCCTTTATTTTTACCTTGCAATCCTAAGAGGTTGTTTTGTTTGTTTGTAATTAAGCACAAAGCTACACAGTGGGCTATCTGTGCTCTGCCCACCACGGTTATCGAAACCTGATTTCTAGCGTTATAAGTCCTCTGTGCCCCTGGGGAGGGAGTTTTTATATCTTATTTAGCTATTTGACCGTGGTCTATTCGAACCGAAAGGGCCAATTTCAGGCAGCTGAGCTTGTTTCAGCTTCCACGGACTGTGCCTGAATTTCAGGCAGCTGAGCTTGTTTCAGCTTCCACGGACTGTGCCTGAATTTCAGGCAGCTGAGCTTGTTTCAGCTTCCACGGACTGTGCCTGAATTTGATTGATAAAGGAGAAGAATAGGTGTTAAATTATTACTTAACTACTTAGTTCTTGTCACTTCGTAATAATTGTCGAAACTACTTAGTTCTTGTCACTTCGTAATAATTGTCGAAACTACTTAGTTCTTGTCACTTCGTAATAATTGTCGAAACTACTTAGTTCTTGTCACTTCGTAATAATTGTCGAAACTACTTAGTTCTTGTCACTTCGTAATAATTGTCGAAACTACTTAGTCCTTGTCACTTCGTAATAATTGTCGAAACTACTTAGTTCTTGTCAACTTCGTAATAATTGTCGAACTACTTAGTTCTTGTCACTTCGTAATAATTGTCGTAACTACTTAGTTCTTGTCACTTCGT